AAACAGGTTGCTTACCAGTAACTGGTGATCTTCGAGTGGTCATCTGTGCATTCACACCACCCGCCCTCCTTCCCCTCTGCTGTCAGCTCCTGATTTTTTGATAGGTGTTGATTGGCGGCGGTGCTTTGAAGGAACTGGCGGGATCTCCGCGCCCGTCCCCTCTGAGCATGCGCGCTGGGGTTCCTGCGCATGCTCAGTGGGACTCGCGCGAAAATCCTTTGAAACATAGCTTGCTACAGCACCGGTCGGGTCAGCGCAGGCGCACTAAACCCATTGGTGTGAATGCACAGATGACCACTCGAAGATCACCAGTTACTGGTAAGCAACCTGTTTTTTTTTCCGCCTCCTGCTCACACATTTTTTGTCTCAGCTCAGGAAGGACGGCTCCAGAGCAAACTGATTTATGCAGTAGCCAAATCGCTCACTCACAACTTTAGTGCCAGCAGCTCACAGAGTAGACTTTTTGTGCACAAGGCTCCCCAGCTTAGAGGGAACATTGGTCCCCATTATTCTTACCACTGTAAGTACCTGGCTAGATCCCCCCCCCCCCGGGGATAACAAAAGCTCCATGGTGGGGCCATTCACAGACGTTTTCATGCAAGTTCTTACATTGTTAGTAGAAGGCTCGTCGTTGAGAGGGAGGAGGGGAAGACTGGCTTGTGTACTGTAAGGTTCCCAGGGAAGCAGTGTGCATCGGTGCCCTACCCAAAGAGGTGCCTTGCTCACACCCTGCCCTCCCCAGCATCACTGTCTGAACAGCAAGGCTGTTCCAGTGACTAGTCTCCTAGTCATTCACCTCCCCACAACAAGGTCCCCCAATGGTGTGTTTCCCTTTGCCCTGGAGGGGACAATGAGGTAGTTGTTCATTCACAGGCAGAAGTTCAAGGGGACGGAAGAACCGAGCTTTGCCCAGCTGAGAATGAAGCCTGCCCCTGTGTATGTAGCGTGGCCGGCCGTTTTCTAGAGGAAGGCAGTATGGAAAGGGAGCCGTGGGTGTATTAGGGCTCACCTGAGCTATGAGGACTGGTCTCTGCCCTACAGTCGAAATGTTGGCAGAGGGGAGAGGCGAAGGACACCAGAGCTGGAGGCAACCCAGGGCCGTCGTGTGTCCCTTTCTGCCTTCCTGTAGTCAAGCATCCAAAAGGCGTCTAGTCACTCAACTCCTGAATGCTGCTGGGTTTGGGCTGCGCTGGCAGCACTGAAGCGTTCTGTCTCTCTGGGGAGGGTGGTGATGGGAACAAAAGACCAGGGGATCTAGAACCAGCCCGGGAGAAAGGGCTGATCCATGCCGGGCCGGTAGAATGTGGCCGTCTGCTGCACAGATTTGCAAAGCCTGCGTGGAAACCGTGAGCCCCGACAAAAGCGCCTGGCGGGCCTTCCTCTTCCTCCTCCTCCTCCCTGGCACTGTCAACCTCAAGCTCCTGCCGTGTTAGGCTAGCCCAGTGCCAGGGCACGTCTCGCTGATGATTCAGCAACTCTGCTGGGTTTTTCCCAGCCCCGGAGGCACGCCCTGTCATTGCCTGCAGTTGCGTGTGGGAAGCCGGCTTACCTTAAAATCCTGCCTCTTGGCACTGTGAAATAAGCCGGCTTGTGCTTTTACACATCCCCCCCCCCCCCCATAGCCAGGGTTTATTTATGCATCTCTTTTATTTCTAGATCATTTTTCTGCTTATAACCACCAAAAATGCATGCAACGGTGGCCCAGAACTCTGGGCCCCAGAACTCTGGGCCCCAGGTACTCCTGGCCACTGTTCCCTCTAAGCTGAGTTAGTGTGAGCTAGCTCACTGTTTTTTAGCCTCCAGCTCACACATTTTTATCTTAGCTCAGGAAGGATGGCTCCAGAGCAAACTAATTTATGCAGCAGCCAAATTACTTGCTCACAACTTTATTGCCAGTAGCTCAAAAAGTAGAATTTTTGCTCACAGGACTTCACAGCTTAGAGGGAACATTGCTCCTGGCACCGGAATAGTTTTGATTGGCATTCTGGGATTGCTGATGAGAGCAGGCAGTGGGTTGCATTCCCCTCCCGGTTTATTGTTGTTGTTGTTGTTGCTGCTGCTGCTGTTCTTCTTCTCTTTCTTCTCCTCCTCCTCCTCCTCCTCCTTCTTTTTCTTCTCCCCCCCCCGTTCTTACACCAAGTCTTGAACAATTAAAACTTAGCAAGAAGAGTCTCAGAGCGGCTTACAAACTCCTTTCCCTTCCCCTCCCCACAACAGACACCCTGTGAGGTGGGTGGGGCTGAGAGAACTCTGACACAAACTGCTCTTTTTCAAGGACAGCTGTGCCAGAGCTTGTGACTGACCCAAGGTCACATCAGCAGGTGCAAGTGGAGGCGTGGGGAATCAAACCCGGTTCTCCCAGATTAGAGTCCGCGCACTTAACCACTACACCAACTGGCAAAAACCCCCCCCAAACTTAAATAAAACCTCTATCTAAAAAACATCTCCCGTCGATATTAATCTGCAGCCTCTAGAAGTCTAGCAGCGAATAAGTACATTTAAAATCTGAGTCTATGAAGAGTTGTTGGAGTTTCTGCACTCCCCTCCCTGCGTGAGCCGTTCGTCTGCTGCTCCCTTGCGTCCTTTGTTCCCCCAGAGGCAAGGAGAGCTGGGAGCCCTGCCTTGAAGCACTGCCTGGAAGGAAGGGCTGGAGGAGACATAATAGGCCGGCAGGTGCCAGCGCAGGCTTCATCTTCTTTCGTTGGGCCTGTTCAGATCGCCCTCTCCTTCCAAGCCCTTGCAAAATGGTTGCCCTGTCATCACAGAAGCGTTGCCCCAAAGCCACAGAGTGGCATATATATCTCTTGATTTTTCCTCCCCATTGACTTCTGCACCTAGCACTTAATACTTGAACATGCAGCTCTTCTTGGCTGACGTCTGTCGTTCTTCTTTCTTCCCCCTTCCTTCCATGCAGGGGTCAGAGTGGAACGCCTCCAATCTGGAAGACCTGCAGAACCGAGGGTAAGCCCAAATGGGAGAGTTTGGTGGAGGCCTTGCAAAAGGGTGCACAGTTTGACATCCTCCCCATGGCCAAAGTGAAGACAGCACCCCCAGCTGGCGATGACCGGTCAGGGCTCTTTTTGTAGAAAAAGCCCAGCAGAAACTCATTAGCATATTAGGCCACACCCCTGACAGCACAGCTCGTTAGCACATTAGGCCGCACCCCCATGTTACCAGAAGTGTGGTTATCCACACCCACCTTTTGCTTGTTATTTTGTTTACCTTGTTTGTTGTCAAAACCCAGGGTTTTTTTGTATCAGGAACTCCTTTGCATGTTAGGCCACACACCCCTAATGTAGCCAATCCTAATGAGTTTCTGCTGTTGGGTGTGGCCTATTATGCTAATGTGTTCCTGCTGGGTGTGGCCAACATGGGAGCCAGCCGGAACTCCGTTCCTGTGCGTTCCTGCCCAAAAATAGCCCTGCCGGTTCTGCCAGTCCCACTTCTTAAACTCACTCAGGAAAAAAGATGTTTGTCGTCCCCCCCCACCCCCCCGGGACTGTTCGCCAAGTCACAGCAATGGGGAGTGAAAACTACCTGTCAGATGGGAACAGTAGTTGAGTCCAAACCAAGGTCCTGTGAGTGGTCAGGAGACTTTCAGAGCTCCTGGGGGGGCCTTATGAGCCCCAGAGTGAACAAGGTCGACCTTGACACCCCCCCTCCCTACCCCACTTTTGAAACCTGACAGCGGATCAGAGCAAAGTCTCTCCGGTCCTGCATTCTGTTCTCAACAGCAACCAGCTGTACTTCTTTCTTTATTACGAAGATGTCCCAGATGCCCTCTGGGAAGACACGAAAGGCAGTGGTGTCCCTGTCTCCCCCTCCCCATCCCTGTCTGTCGCCAGCACCTCATATTCAACGGTACACTGCCTCTGCACATGCAAGTTCCATTTAGGTACCGCGGCTGATGATAATTTGTTCTGTCTTGAAACTGACCTTCGCGCAGCTGTAGAATCCCTACTTGGCCCCACATCGGCGTTCACAGAGAGAGAACCCCGCTTTTTGCTGCCTTTTGTATGCCACGGGTGGGGGGGGTGTCCTCATCTCTGTCGATAGCTCAGTCTCTAAAGCATGCACACAAGGCTCCCCTGGGGCAGTGTTGCTTTCCCAGCTCTTTGGTGGTCACACTGGGATTAAGAAACCAACATGCGTTCCTTGGCTCAAATGAAGTCCATCAGGGTTCTTCTGTCTAGATTTAGCCCTCTGCCTGAGTCTTATCTTGACTTTAGGCCAGAAATCCTTCGTAAATTCCTCTTAGAAGACGTTCATAGCTCAGTGACTTACGCTGTGGCAAAATTTCATTGCTTAGCTATTAGGAAACGTAAACTTATTCTAGCTGAAAAAACTGTATGATTCTCTTATTAATATTATTTTATTTTACTGATTTTATTAATTTTCTCTTGTTAATGTTTTTATACTATTCCTATGTTATTCCTGTTTTAATCCTTCTTATATCAGAATTGTATTGTTTTACTGTAATAAATTAGATAGATAGATCAAAACCCACATGCGTTCCTTGGCTCAAATCAGTTCCGTCAGACTTCTTCCCACCCTTTCCAGCATTTTTGTCTTTCTCTCCCCCCCCTCCCCCCCTTTCCCCAGCGTTATCTTTTCCTCTGTTTCCACACAGGGTGCGGTACATTTTGAACGTCACTCGAGAGATCGATAATTTCTTCCCGGGGATTTTCGAATACCACAACATCCGTGTTTACGATGAAGAAGCAACAGATTTGTTAGCTTACTGGAATGACACATACAAATTCATCTCCAAAGCAAAGTACGTCTTTTAAAAAGGAAGCACACACACATGCAAGGGCTAACCAGGTTTCCTGTTTTTTTTTAAATAACTGGGCGTGACTTGTCTTTCTTAAAGGGTCCTGGTTAAACAGGGGAGCTAATTAGCTGTAGCCACGGTTAACTGTACTGGTTAAATATAGTTAAGGCTGGAGTCAAGGAGTCGAGTGAGTGGGGTCTCCTGGTCCTCTCCCGATTTTTCTCTATGTTTAAGAGGGGTTTCTGTTATGTCTTGAGCAAACGGAGCAAGGGATTGTGCTGGAGACTGGAGTTTTTCCAGAAGCAGCAGTTCAGAAAACTGCCACTCCAGGAGCATGACTTTTTGAAGTAGATATGTGGTGACTTGGGAACGGAGTTCCAATCCTGCCATCAGCCAAAGGGACACCCCACCCCGTACAAACACACCGCGCCTTGAACCAGCTGCTGGGATGCACGGTTGGTAACAACCCTCTGCTACTGTACCCAGGACGGTGGGTTCAGATCCATCTTGCAGTCATCCTTACTTGCTAAAGTGATGCAGTAGGGTTAGATGTGTTCATTTCTTTCAGGTTGAGCTCTTGGGGTTGTGGGTTCAGATCCGGCCTTTCTCACACTGCACGGGGCGATAGAGTGCTTGGCCTGACGTTGCGTTCTTTGACGGCCATGTTGTCTTGTAGGAAGAACGGCTCCAAGTGCCTGGTTCACTGCAAGATGGGAGTCAGCCGGTCCGCCTCCACAGTGATCGCGTACGCCATGAAGGAGTACGGCTGGAACCTGGACCGGGCCTACGATTACGTGAAGGAGCGGCGCACAGTCACCAAGCCCAACCCCAGCTTCATGCGGCAGCTAGAGGAGTACCAGGGGATCCTTCTGGCCAGGTGCGTTTGTGCTGACCTCGTGTTCTGTGCCAGCAGGTGCCGTGGGCATTCGCAAGCATGGCATCCGCACCGCAGTGATTCTTCATGCCGATTTCACTGCTGCTTCAAATACAGAGGCACGAACCGAGAGTCCACGCCGATTGGCCGAGCGGTGGATTTCTGCCCTTCTCCAGCCGTCTTGCGGCTTCTTCTCCTCATTCCTCTCAGGCAATAGGGACAAAAAAAACCTGCCTGTGCCTTTCCCCTTATATCTCCATAATAAAAAGGGCTAGGGACTTGCTTTAAAAAAAAAGATAGCTGACCGTTCAAGGGTTCCATGGATCACGGCAATAGACTGTTACAACGTTATTGCACAGCACTTAAAATAATTGCTGTTTTTTTAAAAAGGTCTCCAAAAGGCTCCTAGTGGTACAGCAGAGAAATCAATAGCCATGAAGGATTAACAGGAGGGGAAACGATACCCTCAGAAATGTGCTTCCCATTCAGATGGAATGCCAGTGCCCTTGGACTGCACTCTTTCAGTAAAAGATCATAGCAAACCAGGGGGAACCCTGGAAAGAGGATGATTACAGAGAACTTAACTTGTGTGGATGCTTAAAAAAAAAAAACCCATGGAGTCTGCTACCTCCGAACATGGAGGTGCTGTTTAACGGGGGCTAATAGCTGTCGATAGATCCCCTACAAATCAATGCACTTATTAAAAAAGCAAAAGATTATGTTCATAGTCATTGCCCCGTATTCCCAAAGTCAATTCTGTGTTCTGTGGGGAAGCTGCGGCTTGAAGTCCCTGTCAGCTGACCGCACTGGATCCTCTCCTTCCTCGTGTATTGAAGAAGGGAAGATAGGGCAATCATTATTCTTGTTACCGTCCTATTCATGCGCTGGATTTGATCTCTGGTTTGGGGTAGGAAGGAGCTGCAGTGGCTCAAGTGGTTAAGACACTGAACTGCAGGCTGTGGAAGGTCAGTAGTTCAGCAGTTCGAGACCCAGGTTGTCGCATGACGGAGTGAGCTCCCGTCTCTAGTTCCAGCTCCTGCCAACCTAGCAGTTCGAAAGCAAGAAATTGCAAGTAGATAAATAGATACCACTTCAGTGGGAAGGTAACAGCGTTCCGTGCGCCTCGGTGTTTAGTCATGCCGGCCACATGACCACGGAAACGTCTTCGGACAGCGCTGGCTCTTCGGCTTTGAAACGGAGATGAGCACCGCAACCCTAGAGTCGGACTCGACTGGCTTTCGAGCAAGGGAACCTTTACCTTTTTTACCTTGGGGCAGGAAGGGGCCCAGTTTGCATGCACACGGGACACGAATCCCCAGTTAAGCCCAGGACAGGAACCCAGAGGAGAGACTGGGGCAGGAAGGGTCATACAGCCCCGTTGCTGGCTCTCTCAGCATGGTTTGGCTCTGTCCCGAGCTGCAGGAAGGTTTCAGGGGGCCATTGTTGTGCGTGTGGTTGGTTGGGGGCTAGGGGCAAAGAGCTCAATTCATTGATTTTAAAATTTCTTCACTTGTCTTTTCACTCGTCTTCAGGGCTGGGCACAAGACTTAAAAGCAGTGCCCAATTTTTTAAAAAAAAACCTTGTCAAAGCGAATCACATATATATTTTTCACGTATTAGCTCAGTAGTAGATTCAGTAGTAGATTCAGTAGCAGCAAATTAGAGTACTTTATGCAGTGGACGATTAACCCATGAACACCCTGCTACAGGACGTAGGCGATGGTCACTAACTTCAAAACCCGGTTAGATAAATTCCCGGAGGTGAAGCGGGTCTGCCCACCGGGGGGGGGGGATTCTCCGTGATTAGAGGCAGTCGACCTGTGAATATCAGTGCTGGGAGGCAAAAGGGGGCATTTCGGTCTGTCTGCCCCTTTTGTGGGCCTTCCCGGGCACCTGTGGGAAACAGGATGCTGGCCTAGATGGATCGTGAGCCCGATCCAGCACAGTTCTTCTTATGCCAACACTGCAATCGAATCTCAGTTCTGTCTCTGAAGAATTTTAAGTTTCCAGCCCTTATAGCTACAAAACAGTATGAGGCTACGAAGCCGCTGTGAAAAACGGCATTCTGAGGGCGCACAGCTGACTGCTCGGTTTTGCAAAATGTGGCGGTGCCACTTGCGTCGTGGCGCTTACTGAGCGTGCAGCTGTGTCCTGGAAGCTTCTCAGCTTGGCCGTGGCGAAGGAGCCAGGTCCGGAGAGCTGCCCTCCTCTCCCACAGTTCCTTTCTTGCGCAAAACTGCTCCCGCTGCGGTTGTTTTGTAATGGGAGACCCCCATCATCTGATTGGGAAAAGATGTCTCAACATTTGCCGGGTGTTTCTCTCCCTCGCCCTCCTTCAGCCTCTTTCGCACAGACACACACACTGAAAATGTGTCCCCATGTAACCTCCTTGAGAGGAAAGAGAGACTTCGTGTTCTGCCAAAGACCTCTGAGCCCAGAATCCTGGTTGGGCCGCGCATGACTCCCCAGTGGCTCAATCGCAGGCCTCGAAAGTGTTCATTTTTGGAGAGGCGGCAAAGGAAGCGTGGAAAGGTCTGGAGGAGGTGACCTGGTCTGACCTTTCCACTTCCAGAAGTCACTGAATTGAAGCCCAATATCCAAGCAACCGAGGTCTTGGAGGGAAAGTAGCCATTCTCAAGCATTCGGAATGCTTCATATACAGTAATGATCTTTCAAGGTAGGCTGCTGGTTATACTCGGAGGGGTTGAGACCGTAAGTGGCCAGGAGTAAGGGGGAAGTGAATTTGTCTTCCTCTCAAAAGAACTGAGCTCATTCTCCTGGAATCAGCCCTAAGAGTGCAGCGTTGGCTCTTTTAAACAGACGTTGGCTCTTTTCAACGGGACTCTTTAAGTTTGACTCCTCCTTTTCCATTTTGGTTGTTTAATTCTTATTCCCCACACTGAGAACTTCTGTATTGCCAGGTTGGCATGACTATTTTCCCCAGCCCAAGGAAAAAAACGTGGCCAATCTTTGGCTTCACTTTCCCTTAGATGTCAGAGGTTCACGGGAGCCGGAGAAGCTGAGTGGCTCTGAGACTGTCATCCAGTGTAAACAGACGGTTTCTCTTTGGCCGACACCCCTGGCCTCCAAAGACTAAAGAATGCTGAGATTATGAATGGAATCAGACCACTGATCCATCTAGGCAAAGATTGTTTTCTCTGCCAGAGCTCAGCTCTCCTGGGCTTCAGGAGGAGAGAGGTTTTCCCACACACACCTGAGGTCCCTTAACTGGAGATGCTGTCACAATGGCACCTGGGACCTTAGAATAATAGAATCATCGAGCTGGAAGGGATCTCCAGGGTCATCTAGTCCAACCCCCTGCATCATGCAGGAAATTCACATATACCTTCCTCCCACACCCCCAGTGACCCCTGTTCCATGCCTAGAAGATGACAAAAAAACCCCTCCAGGATCCCCGGCCAAACTGGCCTGGAGAAAAATGGCTTCCTGACCCCCAAAGTGGCGATTGGCATTTCCCTGGGCGTGTAAGAAAGGGCCACCAGAACTAAGCACTGAGGCAACCCTCCCTGCCCTTCCCTCTCATGAGCTGCCGAAGTTCACAGAACCAGCATTGCTGTCCGATGGCCATCCAGCCATCACTCATCCAGCCGCCTGCCAAGCTGGCGTTCCACCTCCCTGATGGCTTTGGAATCACTTTGGAATACTCAGCAGCCCTGTGTAGAGGTCAAGCTGTGGTTTTAGACGACGTGTCCTGTAAGGTAGGCTGGGTGGGGAGCGGTTTGGCAGAATCGGCCTAATCAGGGTAGAGGTTTGACCTTGGCATGCCACCTTAGCCGTTCTGTCGTATCAGCTCAGTGAGTGGAGTTCATCGTGTTTGCTCCATTCTCTTTCGGAACATCCAAAAACGGGGCTCCCCTTTTTGGATGTTCTGAAAGAGAATGGAGCAAACAGGGTGAATAACCGAGTTAAGAGAAGAAGAAGAGAAGCTTTATACCCCACCCTTCACTCGGAGTCTCAGAGCGGCTTACAAACTCCTTTCCCTTCCCCTCCCCACAGCAGACACCCTGTGAGGCAGGTGGGGCTGAAAGAACTCTGACACAAACTGCTCTTTGAGGAACAGCTGTGCCAGAGCTTGTGACTGACCCAAGGTCACATCAGCAGGTGCAAGTGGAGGAGTGGGGAATCAAACCCGGTTCTCCCAGATTAGAGTCCGCGCACTTAACCACTACACCAAACTGGCTCTCTAAGGGGGCAGCCTTAGACACGCAGCAGCCACGGCAGCTGCCCCGGACCCCCGTGCTAAGGAAGGGGGAACCACTTAGCTGCCCAGCCTCTATGTCGCTGCCACAAGCAAAGAGGACACAGGAAACTGCCCGTATGCTGAATCAGATCCTTGCTCCATCAAAGTCAGTATTAGACTGGCAGCGGCTCTCCGGGGTCTCGGGCGGAGGTCTTTCTCATCACATGCAGCCAGGTCTTTTAACTGGAGCTACTGGGGATTGAACCTGGGACCTTCCACCTCCGCCACCTCCGAAATGGTGGCGGCGGCTTCAAAGCAACTTGAGGCCAGTCTGTTGGGAGCTGGGACAGGGCCCTGAGAGATTCTGGGCAATGCTCCCTCTAGGCTGTGGAGTCCCGTGAGCAAAAATTCTACTTTCTGAGCTACCGGCATTAAAGTTGCGAGCGAGCAATTTGGCAGCTGCATAAATGAGTTTGCTCTGGAGCCGTCTTTCCTGAGCGAAGACCAAGATGTGTGCGCCGGAGGCTAAAAAACTGTGAGCTGGCTCACACTAACTCAGCTTAGAGGGAACACTGATTCTGGAGGCCCAGCTCTGACCCTTTGCCCAGGGTCCCAGAATCACCAAGGCACCCCTAAGGGGGGGAGGGAGACCCTGTCTGTCTGCTGTGCTAGTTTTCTATTTGCACGGAGCATTTTATGTGAAGGGATATTTGGAGCTGGAATCCCCCCCACACACACACACACCGCTGTCTAAAGTGGCACACTCCCCTGTGCCACCTTTTTCCCCCGGCGAGTCTGAACCAAGCCACTCAGGGGGTTACATTTAGACTTGACGGTGGCGCTTCCATGAGTGCCCTGAGCACGTGGAAAGAGGGAGCATATGCACAGACACAAAAATCCCTTCTGGAACAGTTCTGCATTCTCCAACCAGTGGAGCCGCTGCCATCGGGAGCACGGTTGCCCAGGTGCCAACGTACCTGGGCCGAGTCTTTTGCCACGCCACTCAGATAAGTTGCGTGTTTTCCTTTTCCCTTCCCTGAATTGCCCGCTGGGCTTCAAGAAACGCCTGCATCATGCTGTCATCGGTAAGGGTTATTCCCGAAGGCACCACAGCGCCTTTGTTTTTGCTGTTTGGATGCACTCCGGTTGGTCTCGGCCCCCCCACCCCACCCCACCCCCTTGCATGGCTCAGCTAAGCTTCAAGTTCTCTTGTTTATCATCTCTGCCCACTCTGGGCGGGTGGAAGGCTGATTCACGTTCATGTGATTGGTGCTTCGGTTTCAAAGCCAGCTGCCTGCTCCTCTGACGTTTCGGTGCTCTCTGGTTACAGTGTTTGCAAAGGTTGTGGAGAGGAGGGGAAACTGGCTGTGAACTGGGCTATCGCCTGGGATGGGGGCAGCAGCCAGCGGCCACCTGCCGGCCTGGTGTGCATTGGGGGGGGAGGACTATGCCGCTTCTCACCAATATCTCCTCACTAGGAAGGAACTCACTCTTTCCTGTGCTGCTCGACATGGAGCTACAAGCATTGGGGGTGGGGGTGTTTCTTCTCAGACCCCACCTGGAGCTGCTCTGTCATTCAAGCCTGAAGGGGTTTTGCTTGACTTCGTCATATTTCTAGAACCGAGCAATAAATCGCATAAAGAAAGCAAGAGCAAGAACTGTGAGCTCGTTACACTGATATGGGGATGAACGTCAGGTGATTCTGGAGCAGGGCTTTGATTGTTTTTAACTACTTGCACGGTGCGCACGTGTATGCACGTGCTCATAATACTTTAGTTTCTAAGTTCAAGTGTACCTTGAGGGGGGTGAGCAGAAAGGCGCTGCGGGCTGTGGGCGTTCAACTGAGCTTGAGCTCCCTCTAGAGGCAAGAGCTCAGTACTGCAGACAAGAGGAGGAGAAGCATCCAGAACAGAGATGTAAAATTTCCGGAAATTTTGAAGCTCAGAAAAAAACCCGGTTTTTTCCCAGGGGGAAACGGAAATTTTCGGAAAAATTGGAAAAAATGCTACATTAGCATTTCTTTTGTCTTTTCCAGATTGAAAGTCATTCTGTTACTTTACGAACATAAAATATGACTATGGACATTTTTACTTGGCATGAAATTATCACAACTAGCATATTAAAAATATAGTGCATCCAAACAATTATTTCAAACAGAATACCCACCCACATGCAAAAACAAAACTGACACTTTTTTATTTTCTTCTGACAATCACACCTCCTAAAGGAAGAAATGCATCTTGTTCTTGCATTGGAGGGTTCAGTTTGTAACCTAGGACTTGCTTGTCTTCAGTGCACAGAAATTAGATCACTCTGATATATATATAAGAAATGATTTGGAAAATATTTGAACACCTTGTCTTAAAATATTTTATTCATCATGTTAAAATAAAACGTTCCATAATCATTTTTTTTCTTTTTTCAATTTTTCCAATTTTTCGGAAAAAAACAAAAAGGCTTCAGGGAAAAAACAGAGAAAACCCGGGTTTTTTCCCGGATTTTTCCAGTTTTTTCCCGTGCCTTCACATCTCTAATCCAGAAGGGCCTGTTAGCCCAGGGCACGAGTTCCCCGTCCCCCCTGGGCATAACACCAGTGGGGCATTTCGGGGCCCAGCCCCCTGACTTTCTGCCAAGGCCCCCCAACTTAACACCCTGGCCAAGCCCCCCCCCCACTTATTTCTTGTGCTCACTGCGGCCAGTGGACGTGACAAGCCTCATGCCGCCCTTTCTTTAAATGCTTTGGGGGAGAAGTGGGGACCGTGCATGAAGCCAGTTTGATGTAGTGGTTAAGTGCGCGGACTCTAACCTGGGAGAACCGGGTTTGATTCCCCACTCCTCCACTTGCACGTGGCTGGATGACCTTGGGCAAGCCATAGTTCTGGCACAGCTGTTCATGAAAAAAGAGCCGTTTCTGTCAGATCTCTCTCAGCCCCGCCTACCTCACAGGGTGTCTGTTGGGGGGGTATAAATCCAATATCTTCTTCTTAAAAGGCCCCCCAAATTAAAAAAATCCTGCACAACACTGTTGCATTGGCGGTTCCGTTCTGGAGAAATGCCCTTCTGCATCACTGGGGGGGGGGGGCGGAATTGTGGGGTGACTCTGAGAAGAGGTGTAGAGCACCTCAGACAAAGTCCCTTCTAGGAGCAGAAACAAGCCACCCAAAGCAAAGGGCTCTTGTCGGGTTCTGGGGGATTGTTTCGCTACCCCCTCCTTTCTTGGCAGCCTCCGTTTAAGCAAACCTCCCTGCCATCACGATCGCTGCCTTCTCTGCTCTGTCCTTATCTGCTAGCTCTGAAGGCCCACCAGGACGGGGAGAGATGAACATAAGAACATAAGAGAAGCCAATGTTGGATCAGGCCAGTGGCCCATCTAGTCCAACACTCTGTCACACAGTGGCCAGAAATACCAGGTACCATCAGGAGGTCCAGCAGTGGGGCCAGGACACTAGAAGCCCTCCCACAGTTGCCCCCCCCAAGCACCAAGAAGACAGAGCATCACTTGCCCCAGCCTGAGAGTTCCTATCTATACCTTGTGGCTAATAGCCACCGATGGACTTCTGCTCCATATGCTTATCTCATTCCCTCTTGAAGCTGTCCATGCTTGTAGCCGCCGCCACCTCCTGTGGCAGTGAATGGAGATGGAAAAGAAGAAGAAGAGATTGGATTTATACCCCGCCCTTCACTACCCAAAGGCGTCTCAGAGCGGTTTATAAACTCCTTTCCCTTCCCCTCCCCACAACAGACACCCTGGGAGATAGGCGGGGCTCAGAGAGCTCTTGACAAAAACTGCTCTTTTTCAAGAACAGCTCTTATCAGAGCTACGACTTGCCCAAGGTCATCCAGCCAGGTGCAAGTGGAGGAGTGGGGAATCAAACCCGGTTCTCCCAGATTGGAGCCTGCACACTTAACCACTACACCAAACTGGCTCTGGATCAGGACAGAATTCCTGTCTGGGGGGCCCAGGCCGCCTTCTGCTGCTTCTCTCCCTCTCCATTGCAGTTGGGCGGAGGAAGGGACCAGCCGCCTCTTGCAATCCTTGACCCCCTCCCTCCCTCGTTCTCCCATAAACTGCGGCAGCCGCTGACATCCCTCCACTGTGTATTCTGTTTCTTATAGACCAGGAATGCTGGGAACTCGCTTTTACAGAGGGACTGATAATCCGTAGTTTAGTGATTCATACAGCTCTATGGATATGCAGCGTAGGCATATCCGCAACAAACTGAGTGGTTTATAGAGCATGTATGGGGTGGAGAAAGTGGACAGAAGGAACTTTTTTTCTCCTTGCTACAAAGTGTTAGAACTCTGATGGGGCACGGAACAATGTTGATGGGGTTCAGGACCCCAGACCAAAGGAACGAGTGATGCAGTTGTGTCAATGATTTGTGGAATTCATCGACACAATGAAATTCCACAACTGAAGGTGTTTGAAAAAGTGAGCAGTGACTCACAGAAGCTCCTGCTCCGCCACAAATGTTGTTAGTCTTTAAGGTGCTCCTGGACTCTTACTTTTTTCTCCAGCTATAGATAGAGTAACGTGGCTACCACTGTGTCCTGATCTAGTGTCCTGGCCCCACTGCTGGACCTCCTGATGGCACCTGGTATTTTGGGGCACTGTGTGACAGAGTGTTGGACTGGATGTAGATCACTGAATGATTACACCTTTAATTTCGTTGTACTATGTACAATGACAATAAAGTATATTGTTGTTGTTGCTGTTGTTGTGATGTGGGACCAAAAGGAGACGGCGGGGGGAGAGAAGGGTGATGGATGTGGGGAGCATCTACCCTCACTCCAAATGTACTTGAATAAAGCCTGCTTTCAGTGGGGCAGGAGGACTTAAGGGTCTCCGCAAATGACTTGGTGAATAAGGGAAGAGTGGCGTTTCAAGCGATGCTGACCCTCTGTCTGTCTGTCCTTCCCTTCCCACAGCAAGCAGCGGCATAACAAGCTCTGGCGGTCGCACTCCGAAAGCGACCTCTCTGACCACCACGAGCCCATCGGCAAGTCCGGGATGGAAGTCAGCAAAAAGGAGATCACGACGTCCGCAGACCAGATCTCGGACAACAAGACCCTCAACAGCCACCACTCGTCGGCACCTCCAGGAGGGCCCACTAGCCCGCCCGTCGAATGCTGGTGCCATCTCGGCGCCAACGCCATGGAGGACTTCTGCGGCAGGGAGAGGGTGATCCAGCTGGAGATCACCTCCCGAGACTTCAGCACGGAGCAGATGGAGGACAAGTTGAACCTGAACAGCATCAATGGGTGCCCTTCCGGGTGTTGCTTAGATGACCCAAAGTTTCCTCTGGACAACTGCCGAGCCCCTGAGGCCATGCTTCAGCACGGAGAAGCCTTCAAGGTGGCTGCTGAGTTTCCCGACTTGGCAGTGGATGATTTGGAGAAAGATGCCCTCAAGCAAGGCGACGGGAGCGTCCATTTGGTCCCCATGGAAGAGCTGGAGTCTTGCTTGCAAGACCTTCCAAAGTCGCCCAACCGCGACTCCCCGAGCCCACCATTCCCCTCCCAACCCGAGAGCACGGATTTCAGCACAGACAGGATAGACTTCTTCAGCGCCTTGGAGAAGTTTGTGGAACTTTCTCAGGAGGGCAGGTCCCGCGCCTTCTCCCACTCGAGGACGGAAGACCAGGGAGGCGGGAGGAACGGTCTCCCCAAAGTATCGGCACTGGAATTGCTGCCCTCTGATCCCGTGGGAGATGCTGGACGGAACAACTCAATGGGCAACTCCCCGCTGGTGTCAGAAGCGTCTTCAACGGAGGAGGAACATCTGAAGGTACCGATAGCAGGCGAGAATTTGCGTTTGGCGCTTTATAAACTGAAGAGAGCAAAGTGAATGCTAGGAAAGTTGCAGGGGAGGGAGAAGGCAAGGGAATCTTTCCCCAGAAAGTCGAAATACTTTCCTACAAGTCCAGGAGAGGTAGCCACAAACACATTGTCAGCTTTATAGGCTTTACTGCCGAGGATGGGTAACGATGACTACCACCACTAGATAGAAACCCATGGAAGATGGGTTTTAAAAAAGGCAAAAGCCATCTTGTGCCACCTGAATGACCATGAGGCTTGTTGAACCATCAGCTTCGGTGGTTTTAACCGATGCATGAAGGGAACACTCACTCAGCCGATCTACATACATGCGCCTGGGGCTTAAAGAGCCCTGAAGGGCATAAAGTACAGTAGTGGCATTTCTGTTCCAAAATCAGAAGTATGCAAGATCGAGCCAACAGAGGTGCTGCAAGACTCCTTTGTGTGTTTGCTGCAACAGACTCACACAGAAGTACAAACACCTTTTAGACTTTGTGTCCAAGGAATATAGATGTGACAGCAGCAGTCTGTCTTGATAGCTCCACGTGCCCTGGCTGTCTGTCTCTGAATTCCAGGTTCTGGCCACAGGCACCAGGGCAAAGGCACTAATTAATTAATTAATTAATTAATGCATTCATCCATAACAATTGTATCCCTCCTTTCTGCCCTTACAAGAGCCTCCAAGGTGGCTAACAGTTTAGAACATACAGGATAAAAATCACATTTTAAAACCATGAAAGTCAGCTCTCCCCCCACCCCCCCAGACAGACATTAAAACCATTTTTTAAAAGAGTTACAAAACAAGAGTTAGAATACATGCAAAACATTAAAAGGAAGGAGGGATCGTCGAGGGGATGCCAAACAAAACCAGGGCGTTTCCACCAGCAGAAGGGGACAGACGAATCCCCCCTGGGGAGAGCATTCCATGGCTTTGGTGACACAACCAAGAAGGCTCCTCTCCCAGGTTGCCCCCCACCTAATCTCAGAAGTGGGGGGCATTCAAAGCAGGGCTTCCAAACATGGCCGTGGTGGTTGGGTTAGGTACATAAGGGATCTTTCAGGTAAGCTGGGCTCAAACCATATAAGAGTTTGAAGGTCAGTACCAGCACCATGAACTGTGCCCAGAAACAAATCGGAAGTCAGTGTAGGCGGGCCAAGACTGGAGTGATACAGCCCCTACGGCCCACTCCAGTCAACATCCTGGCTGCAGCGCTTTGTACCACTTGAAGTTTCTGAACACGTTTCAAGGGCTGCCCCACGCAGAGCGCATTGCAGTAGTCTAACCTAGATGGAACCAGGGCACGCACCACAGTTGTGAGATCTTTTCTGTCCAGGAAAGGCCACAGCTGGCTAACCAGTCAGAGCCGGTACAAAGGCACACCTGTCCACAGCTGCCACCGGCCTATCCAGGAGTCGGCTGGGTCCAGGAGCACTCCTGGGCCACGGACGTGTTTTTTCAATGGGACGTTCCGCCCCATCCAGAACAGGTGGCACCTTAAATCCCGGGTCGGGTCTTCCATCCACCAGTAGCATTTCCATTTTGTTGGGATTAAGTTTTGGTTTATTAGTCCAAAACTGCCTTCGGGCACCGGTTCAGGGTTTATACGGCCTCCCTTGGGATCACCCCTTTTACCCTTGGCTTATGGGCTTCCAGAAACATCCAGGTGGCTAGTCTTGGAAACAAAATGCTGGGGTGGGTGGACTCCCGATCAAAAAAAGCAAGCCATTTTTACAATGTGCTAAGTAATTTCCTTCAAATTCCATATAGTCACATTGGAGTGACGATGGCATCTTCCATACGGGGTCTCCCAGGGGAGAAAGACATTACTAGGATACGCCCTCTGTCTCGGCATTCATAGTTCTGGCTGTGTAATGTGGAAAGGCTTGTGATCTCTTCTTAACAGTCATCCTCTGCTTTCCTTCTCTTTTCTCTCCATAAGCTCTCTGAACTGGACCGGTCAAGCGGCCTGACACGATCTCACTCAGAAAACGCCATCTCGGTGAAAGAAATAGTCACGGAAATCGAATCAATCCACCAGGGCGTGGGGCAGGGAGTGGAAAAAAGGGACAGCTTGAACAGTCAAGTCCCAGCTTCCAAGAGGAACACCGTCCACGAGCTGCCCGCAGAATCAGTCTGGGCCTGGGAGAGTAAGTCCGGGAAAGCCGAGCCAGGGGAAGGGGTTGCCACGCCGCAGAAGGAGGCAGCCAGAGAGCCTCCGAAACCAGATCAAGAGAGTACGTCAGTCCCACAGGCGCCGGGTGCTAAGCTGGAGTCCGAAGAGAGCGACAACTTGCCAGAAGACCCACTGGAGACTCGTCTGAATCCCGGGCCCAAGTGGTGCCCAGGCTCTGTACGGCGTGCCACCCTGGAGTTTGAGGAGCGCCTCCGACAAGAGCAGGAACTGCAGCACGCCTCCCCTATCGCCCCCTTACCCGTCCGCAAGAACTCCAAGATCGAGCCAGCAGCAGCCGATGTTCTCCTGAAGGGCAAGGATGAAGAACCGTCCCACGAGCTGGCCCACATCTCCAGGGATAAGGAGGCCATGAGAGTTGGGAACGCCGGTGCCGAGATCGGTTCCGAACAGCCCCCCGTCCCTCCCGCTCAGGATGACCGATTGGAGGGCTCTCGTGCAGAGGTACCGGGGCTGGCCAGAGAGCACAGAACAGTGGTTTTGGTGGAAGGTCACGATAAGATCCCTGCGCCTTGCCCCCTCCCCAAAAGAATCGAGATCATTGAGTACACCCACGTGGCAAGGTCGCCCAGCCTCCCTGGGGCGGATTTCCCAGTAGCGGAGCAGAGTCCTGAACTTGAGGTGCTGGAGAAAGCCTCCACGATAGCCGCAGCATCGGTGGTTGATGAGAACTGTAATGCACCTTCATGCTCTGAGGATCCCGTTGACCTGGTGGGGGCATGCCCGTCATTGAGGCCTTCAGTACTGGAGCACAGAGACTTCGAGAAAGCTGTCTTCTCCTTGGGGAGCCCCGAGGAGGAGGAAATAGGGGTCCTGATGGACACGGAAGCCCCTCAGTTAGCAAACCCGGTGAACTGTCCGCCCACACAGCACTCAGACCACCTCGCCCGCCAGCACTTTGTTTGCTTAGAGGGGGTCACGCAGGACGGCACGAGCTCAGACCCCGAGCCAGCCCCTTCGTGGGGCTACGCTGGGAACGGACAGTTTGCCTTTGAGGAGAGGGGAGGAGGGGCCCCGCGGAGGAGGAGCGAGGGGGCCCTAGTGCAGTGGAGCCCGGGGGACTCAAACCCGCCCCTTAAGCAAGACCCGCAGACTGGGGGAGCTCTAGAAGCCATGGCCACCGTGCCGCATTGCTGCGGCCTCCCCCACAGCTCCAGTAGCGACAGCATCCAGGACTTGAGCGGCAGTCCCAGCTCGGTGAAACAGCGCGCAAAGGAAATGGAGGCCCGGATCCGGCAAGCGGGCCTCACCCCGCCTTCCCACATGAAACGGTCGGCCTCCTTAGCCAAGCTGGGCTGCCTGGATCTGCTGAAGGACGACTTGACCTGCAGGGACCCCCTCTCCCCCAGCCCATCCTCCCCTGACCCACTTCCCGCCGCCTGCAGCCAGAGAGGGCCCACGCTTGCTTCGGAGCACCGAGCGCAGGACCCGGGCCTGACACTCCTGCCCCCCGTCCCCCAGGCCCCCCAGCTGACGGTGCATTTCGTGGAGCCGCTCAAGACGGCGGAGCGCATCGCCCTCAGCAAGCCAGTGGAGAGGCCCCCGGCGCAATATGCCAAAGAGTTCAGTCTGACTCGGCCGCTCTCCGAAGCGAAATTGACTAGTGCCCAGGCAGCCGGGTTGCCTGGTTTGCCAGTGCCCCCAAGGCTGGCTGTGGTGCCCAGGTACCAACACGGTAGAACTCGACTGCCGAGGAGACTCAAAAAAGCAAACGACAGGAAACGTACAACCAATCCCCTGTATAATACCATGTGATCTTCAGCCCCCCCCCCCGTTTGGCCCTCCCCTAAAAAGAAAAACAGAAACAAACCTTTTACATTTTTTTTGCAACACCCTTGTTGTGTTCTTCAGATGGGGCAGATGTAATATATATTGAAACATGCACTTTATTGGTTAATTTTATATACGTTTGTCATTTTTACTGTTCCTGTTGCATGTAAGTTTCAAGGTGGCTGGTTTCTTGGTCCTCCCCCCCCCCCCCCCCGGCCCCCCCGGTATGAGTGACTGCAAAGCTGCAGTTTTATTATTTTCATATTAAAATATTTTAACTAATAAACCTCAACTTTTTTTTTTTGGCTTTGTTTTAACAGAACACCCTCCTTTAGGGAAACGGCAGAGTGAGGACTTAGAGTTGCTCTTTCCCGTTCAACCAAAGCTGTTTTCTTTGTGCTCTCGTGAGCTGAGCACTGTCCGCGTGGACGAGAACGAGAGCGGCTGGCCGGATTGCATTCCCGCCATCCGAGGGGCCGCTTCCTAGAATCCTCACGCTAGCCGGCCCTGCTCGGCCGCTGGTGCTCGGCCAAGTCTGTACGGATGGGAAGGCTGTTCGGCCGCACGGCCAGCTTGTGCCGTCTGCAGAGAAGGTCGCCAGAGAGTCCCAGGCCCCTCAAGTGCCTATTGGACATGGGACGGGGTGTGCCAAATCCTACCAAACACGCTTTGATATGCCCAGAGAGCTCACGCAGGCACAGGTCCGCGGTGTGAAGGGTACTTCCAGAGCTGAGCTACGGAGGGTTGGGATCCTGGCTCCTTCGAAACCAGCAGCAAAGCTCTTCCTGTGGTGGATCACCAACCAGGACGAGTGTCTAAAAAGCGTAGGCGAGATTTCGGGTCTCTGGAGACAGCGGTGCCTGCGGCTTTGCTGCAGAGGAGGGGAGATTGTTTGAGGGTGAAATTCACCGCGATACACACTGGGGAACTCACCACCGTGGGGGGCTGCAGGACATGTTTGATTGGAGCGATCTCAAAAAAGAAGACAGCGGTCGTAGGGCACGAAGGGGAAAGCAGAAGGGGAAAGCAGAACCGTAGCAGGGGGGTGTTCTCTTAAAACAAATTTCCTCCTAGGGTTTTAACCCTTTCATTACTTGAATAATGCTGTGGGCCTTTCAGAGCATTGCGGCCATATCCCCGGTTCTTTTCCTTGATCTACAAAGCAATCTGTCTCCCTGCCTTCCCCCCCCCTCCTGTAGAGCTCTTTTGCCCCCTTTCTGTTTGTTCCTTGCAGTTCAGAGGCTGATTGGGTCTGTGTATGGAAAGGTTCCTGCCTCCCTCCTCCCTGGGAATAACGATCTGTGTTTCTCTTCAGTTGTACATAAGGGCGTGTTTCTCTTTTCTAGCGACTGTTTTTTGTTTTGGCAGCCGGGTGTACCGTATTTCTTCTCAACTGGAAAACCGCACAGAGCTCTTCTCGGTGACGAGCACAACCTGCACGCAAATACTGGAGCGGACTTAACTTTTGTGCCCCCCCCCAAAAAAAGAGCCAGGGCCCCTCACCATCTTGTGCCAAAAGCATGCATGTCCTTTTTTAAAAAAATAAATAAAAATTCCTCCTTTGCGTGAGATGACGGCACCCTTCCTGACGCAATAGACGTCTTCAGCTCTCGGGGCTGCCTGCTTGCTGTCTTTCTGGAGATCAGGGTTTTGAAGCTCCTCGATATGGCGTTTCCGGTTGAGCCATGTTTTGTTGTGACTGGAATCCAAAGAAGCACACTTGAATCCCCGTGCGCCGACAGCGCCAGTCCCGTGCGTCGGTAGGTGGGTTGGATGGGGTTTCGATAGTCTCTTCCCAATGTACCTACGAAGCGTATTCAAAATCTGCTTCCCACTGGATAAAATCGTCCCCCCCCCCTCCACTTTGAGTGGGCAAGCACTGTCAAGTTGCATCCTCAATTCAAAGAGGGCTTTTCTGCTCTTCCCGCCCCCTCCCAAATTGGGGGGGGGTGTTCGTGGTGGACATTGAAAATGTTGCTTTCCTTTCAGTCGTTCAGCTTCTTAGGCCAAGGGGTGAATATCCCCCCCCCCCCCGGGCAGGGGGATGAGTGTGGATGAATTCCAGGTTGGTTTTAGCGCTGCCCGGGAGGATGTAGATGGGGCTTTGTCTCCCTTTCCTTCGTCACTAGCCGTCTCCTTGTGACTTTGGGATCCTTTTCGTCTCCTGTCAGGTCTCCGTCACGATTGTCCCCCGTGGCCGCATGCCTTTGGTTATGAATCGCAGCCCCCGTGCCCTCTGCTCTGCCAGTGCCTCCGTCTCTGCTGTGGCAAGCGACTTGTTAGGAGCGGGCCGGAATCCGGCCACAAGCTTCCTCTTGGGGGAGAGGGGAGAAGCCCACATAAAGTTCTTCCATCGCCTTCACGTGGCTTTCCATCCCTCTCACTCTTGGATCGACCTCTCGATATCTAGCCCTCTCCTCCTCGCCACCTGTGGCCCGGTTCGGGCAAAAGGGGTTGGGCTTGTGTAGGAAACACAGTTGTACCTATAAGAAAATTGTGTGTGTGTATGGGGGGGTTTCGCCTCCCTTCACCCTCCCCCCTGGCCCTCCAGTCGAACCAGCTGCTGTCTAGATGATCCATCTAGTGTTGTCTTCTCTCTCGCATTAGCCAAGCCCGAGTGCAGAGTACCGGTGGGGGAGCTGAAGTCCCCTGGAAAGAATCCCCTTCCCGTAGGGCCAGCTGAGTCACGAGGCCTGGTCTCTGTTCCTGAGGAGCTCAGCCAGTTGGCCAGGAGACTGGACCGTTTCTGTCGCTGGTAGCTGAAGCCAGGTTCTTGAGCCAGATGCGAGGCTGCCTCTGCTGGGCCAGCCACGTAGGTCAAAGCCAGCCCTTCCGTTGGTTCTCCACTGCCGTGTCGAAAGCGACGGTGGCTTCCGCGGGCATTGGGCGAGTGGTGCGTCATCACTCTGCATCGATCGGTAGGGGGAGATCTCGCGGTCTGTGATCCCTTTTCCTTTTGCTCTCTGGCTTCTGGGATTGGAACAGGTTTCAGGTGCGCAATACGAGCTTGCCCTTCCGCCCTCTGGAGGGAATTCCCTGAGGCTCTAGCAAAGGGCTTTTCCGAAAGACTTTCCTTCAGAGGAGTAGGTTGGGATTTCCTCCTGCTGCTGCCTGTCAGGTCTCGGTTGCAATCGTCCCTGTACCTTTGTGCCACCTGTTGTGAATCGCACCCCCCCCCAATGCCCTCTGCCGTGCCTCCATCCCTCATCTTGCGAAAACTGCGCATGCTGTTTTTGCTTGTCAGTCACTCTGGATCTGTGTCCTTTGCAGACTCCCCTTCTGGAAGCAGAACCTGCCGCTTCCAATTTGGCTCCGCTGGGGTCGCAGGGGCAGCACGGACCTCCTCTTTCCCCCCTCTTAAATTGAACGCTGGGCCTCAGTCCCACTCGGCAATAGGTTGGCAACTCAAGTGTGAAGACTGCCGCTGATCAGGAACCAAAAGAACCTGCTGCAGCCGCCTCTGAGCCCTCTTTGGACCTCCCCGGCCTCAAAAGTCCGGCTTGGAGAGGTTGTGAAGTGTCCGGTTACTTCCAGGTCTTCACGGACTGGCTTTTGATCTGTGTGCCCTGTTTCTCAAGCCTATGCCATATTTGTTTAAAGCATCACTGGTGTTTTGGAGGGCATCTCCTCCCAACACCCCCCCCCCCCGTGTATAGATTTGCTACCCTTTTGCAGAACTCATTTCCAGGAGGATTTTCCAACCCCTTCGTCATGGATGACCACTCCCCCCCCCCTCCGCCTTACGAGAAGGGCTTTCTCCCAACTCTCGCATCATGGACTTTGGGAAGCGTACCAAAATCTCAGCAGCTCCTGCCCCCCTTTCCCTTTTGGTTTTTGCCTTCTACTGTAAACCTGTGTCGTGCCTTGCACAGAAGCGTAACTGTGGAACCGATCCTTGCGGGTTGTGCACGCCTGGACAGAATAGTCGTCTCTCTCCTCCCCCCCTTGTTGCCGTGCATTCTGCTAAGCTTAGCAGCTTCCCTCTTTTCATCGCCACCCCCCCCCCTTGGAGGCAGTATGCCTTGACCGTTGCTTTTTTTAAAAAAATAATAATTAGGCTGACGGGGCTCCTCTGCCCCTTTTGTCCCTGTGCCAATCATCCTCTGCTGGACAGTGAGTTCTCTTAGGAGCAGCTGGGCATGGTGGATCGGTCTTGGCGAGATGCTGTCTTTGCCTAGCCAAACAAGGTCCTTGTGCTTGCTTCCAGGCCAGCCTTTGACTCTCTTTGACAGCCAGCGTCCACCCAGGGGAGGGGGGGGAATAGGCCAGGTTTTTCCTTCCTGTGTTCCCTCCCAAGCTTCCATTGAACCTGCCTTAGCGACCTTCGAGCGGAAAGGAAGGCCCAGCTGGCTTTGACTCTCCAGCACAGGTAGCGCTCTCCTTTGGGTGGCCTTCACGTCGGACCCTGGGGTGGGCAGCCTGGCACAATCCCTTGTTGGAATCTGGATCCTTGGTGCTGTTGCGGGCCTTGGTGCCTTGTGGGGTGTGTGTGTGTGTGTGTGCTCCTTTTCTTCCACAGGGGTGTGTGTCTCTCGCACACTTCCGAATCTCGAGTTGGAGAAGGGCACCACTGCAAACCGACTCAGCCTCTGTCTGTGTGAGTGTCTCTCTCTCTCTCTTTCTGCACCCGGTTGCTGCTGGGAAATGGGGGGGGGGGATCTACTGTCGTGTGTTTTGCAGAATCGAATCCCTCCCGAGACAGCCTGGGGAGCTACACATCTCAAAGGGTGGGGTGGGGGAGGAAGCACTCCCCCTCCATGATTATATCCCCTCCCACCATGCGCTTCATTCTTGCCCCTCCCCCCAACAGTGGCTTGTACCATAGACTTTGACCAACATGACCCTCAGCTGTTTTTAAATGTGAACACTCGCCCTCGAGTGGTGCAGATTCAATGTTCTTGTTACTGGATGAATAAATTTTTATTTTGAGAACTGAGCGTGTCTGTCTTCCGTCAGCACTGGGTTTGTGGGTGGTGCACGGCCAGGGTGCGAGGGAA